ACCGTTGGCATCTGTTGCTGCCCTTTATCTTACATTCACTACCGACGCTGATATCTGATAGACACACACTCGCCACTCTCATTGCCGAGTATAATCAATGTGAGAGATGTGACAAGATGTGAGGAAAGTGGAAAATGTCATGAGGGAAATATGAAATGCCTTGAAAATGTTATGGGGGGGAGAGAATAGGAGCTACATGACTCAGTTTGAAACACTATAAATACGAGGAGGAGCTAAGAAGTTGAGGTGAGAGACTGTGAACTGTTCCGCACAAAGTCACAACATTTTCAGAATATTTTTACAAATGATTTCAATTATCTGAGTTATTATCAGTTGTGATCCTCCTCAGTTTTCAGCTCAATATGTCCAAGATAATTGTCATTGAAAAGCAAACATGGTCAAGTTGTCAAGAAACTCTGACTTATTACCAACATGTTTGTTGGCTGTTTAGTGTCGTCGGGAGCATTAGACCGCCGTAAATTTCACCAGAATGGCTTCCAAGGGCCCGTTCACATTCCACAGCCAACTTAAGGTCACACGTATAAATCACTAAAAACAAATGAAGCTCAAGGGCCCACAGTGTCTACTGCCTGTTGGAGGTAATTACAAAATGCTTTAAGCCATTTAGTGCAGCTTCTTCTTCTTAATTTTCTACCATTACCTTTTTTTTTCCACTAGAAAAACACCCACAGGCTGCAGACAGTCAGTAGACTAATGATAGTGGTTTGCTGTGCTTAGGTAGTGATCACAGTAAATGTTGTCAACTTCCAAGTAAAACTAAGACGACATGGTGGCCAGAAACCCTCAAATATTTCTACTGCAAGGCCTCTCCAGAAGATTAGTAGAAAAACAAACAGAAGGAGAAAACATTCTGCCACCAACACCTTGTCCACACTAATATGGATATTTTTATAGACAAATATCTTCCCCTCGGTGAAACAAAAAACATTTTCAATACGACCATTGCTTTACAAAATGTCTCCTTAAAAATGACTATAAAACTATAAAGAATATTCTATATCTGCAGGTGCTGTTGTTTCAGACTCATTACACAAAGCAACCTAAAGCAAATAATATAACTTAAGTGACCTAAAATGCTGTTTATGCTGTATGTGGATGAGAGGCTCAAACCTAGAGGAAAATGTATATTTTGCAAACAATCTGTATTTTTGCAGACAAGGCCTGAAACAATGTTTATATTTTAAAACTTTTCTCCAAGCTATTCTAAAATCTAGGACAGCCTTAAAAGCCAGCTGTACTAGCTCTTAACACACATTTACGGTAATAATACATGATGTTTTCCATTCATTCTGCATGCAAATGTTCACTTGTATGCATAAGTAATATTTACATTTGTAAATGTGGGTATTACTGTGTTTTCGCAGTTATATTACAAGTGTGTGATGCTGGTCTGGATGCTTATTGCTCCTGTGACGTTTTTACACGCCTTGGACTCATTTTTCACTCCAATATAAAGTCCTGCACCCTTAAGGAAACAGCACAACCATGGCTAGAAGTAGAGAGAATTCAGAAATGTCTTCTGTGCAGTTTGACACAGTTATACTATTGTAGATCATAACAAAAAAAAAAGAAATGAAAGGAAAAAAACAGAACAAATGCTATATTTCTTTATGTATTTATTTTTAGAACAAATGGAAAAAACATGGAATCAACTTGTACATTTTCAACAATACTAGAGGCTCCACATACTATTGATATTTTACTACTTTCATTTTTAATTTGTTTCCATACTTTGTCTTCTATCTGCTTTTTGTAAACACGGCCTGCAGTTCAACCCAGTCGAGCTAAAAAGTCCCTAAATTTTTCATCTAGCGACAGCTGACGGCAGTTTATTTCATCATGGTTTCACAATTGCACTGACGAGTGCCTCGTTTTTTCTTGTTTTTCAGAATCTAGTTGGAGCAAACTGTTTATTTTTGACAAATTTTTAAATGAGACACGTAGATTAAGGTGAATTTGATTAAATATTACATTTTAAGCTTGGATTTGTTTAAGTTTTATGGTAAAAATTAACACCACAGGACCATCAAAAAGTAAAATCTAATGATTATTTCCATTTTTACAGTTTCTGGCTCTGATACATTCTTGAAACTTTTGATACCTTTCATGCCCACCGGCAGGTTTGGGGTTTAAAGGGTTTAGCCGCTAAGGTGTTCATTTACACTGTTAGGTTGAATTATTTTGCGAGTCAGGTGTTTGAAACTAGCCAGATACTGAGAACTTCTGCCTTATGCATAAAATTAGAAATCGATTCACCAGCCCATTGGTAGCAACTCTTGGACATGGTATTATTTTATACTGAGGGGTCTTGAGCAAAAACATCAAAGAAATACTAGATTAAGATTTCACTTTTTGTAAATTTAAGGTTTTCTGAAACATGTATTAGCTCTAACACATGACCTTTGTGCTACATTTATATCCATTAACAGGGAACACATTGCACTGTTCCTGGAGTCAAGGTGACAACATAGCAGAGAGTAGCTGAACATTCAGCTCAGACTTGACCCGGTTACACCTGGACCCTGCAGACGTGGTTCCTCCGGGGAAACATGTGCACGCAGTTTAGTTTCTTGTCCCTGGAAGAGGCCACGAGGCTACATGACAGCTAACACACAGTCACACACTCATGAGCGTGATGATGAGCTACTACACAGTGGATTTAGCTTGAAGACACACACAGCCACGATGTCAGGACAAGAAGTGGAACCAGTGATGCGTTTGTACACGTGATGTTTCTCGAATCTGTCTTTTGAAGGCTGTTGGTCACGTGTCTGATATTGCATAGTGATAATTTTTCTTCATGGTGCGTGGCGGATCTCTCTTCCTATTTGTGTTTGCATCCACACTGTGGAGAGGAAGCATGTCCTAAATGTGAGGGCAGCAGCTGTCGCCTGTCAGATGTGGTTTTAAAGAGGGTGTGTGTGTGAATCAGGCCTGCATGGCAAGCAAATGGCCGCCACTGTGCCGGGTCGTGCGGAGCCACACACCCTTTTCATCTCCGTCCAGCTGTCCTCTGTTCCTGCCTTTCCCATTTGTAGGGCTGCACCTAGGTGACACACAAAGAGAGGCAATCTACAACTAGCTACGACAAATGTGATGCTAAAAATCATTCTAAAATTGCTGCTTTTCACATAAAAGTCCTCCGGTCTCAATCTAATCTTACCGGTTAAGTCCTCACATTCTCTCCACTCATCTCGCTTTCATGCTTCCTCCTTTGTTGTGTTTGCACTCAGTGTCGATTTCATTTTTACGAGGCTGCTTAGAGGACAAATAAAGAAATTAAATAGGTCAACAAGCCCAAGAGCTCCCTTGTCCATTACAAAGCCATTACACTTGTGCTTTCTCCTCTGGCGTTCTCTCTGCTAACTTCTTAGTGTCTTTTGCCTGCAGCAGATGCAACCTTTCTTGTTTTCCTTTTGCAAAGCGGAAAGAGAAAGATTCAAAAGATACAAATAAGTCAGGATGTTATTGTATCAAAGCCAAGCGGTGGCATCTTTTGTCGGTATTTAGCTGCAAGGAGCGGATTTGCTGAAAAAGCTTTTAATTAATATGCTTTTGCAGTGTCCTCCTGGCTGCAGCCCGAGGCCCTCTCGACATGTGTTTATCTGTTTGTGCGCGCTCGTGGTTTGGCTGCTGCTCTCCCAGGAGGGTGGGGCTGCAGACATATGGCTATAGACAGGGAATTTATTGATTCTTTGATCTTCACATTCTCTCCCGTTTTGTCACAGTTTTTTTTTTCTCCCCTTCTTTTTGCCTCAGGTTTACCACCCATTTCGAGGTAGCTTTCTCTGTTTGAGCAAATGTTAGCCCCACATTTATTATTATTTTCCTGTCAAGGCCTCTGTTCACAGTTGAGGCTGGTTCAGGTTTGCAGATATGAGTTCATATGGATATAAGCGAGTTAGATATTTAGTCTAAATGATAAAAAAAATGTTGTAAGGCTGCAACTAATGATTATTTGATGAATTGCTCTGCTGATTATTCTCCACTAATTTATTCATCGTTTGATTTGTAAAATATCAGAAATTAAAGAAATTGATCAGAAGGAAATCCTGGAATACAAAACTAACGGTTTCTTTGATTTTCTTTCTGCATTTGATTGATTATTCTTTGTCCAACGCTCCTCCATACAGTGCCCCTCCTTAGTCTTACTGTGCTGCATTAGCAATGCAGATCATTGCAGTTGAAGAGTCCTGTCAAGGGGCCCACTCCCTTCAAAATTTTTCGCCACTCAAAGCAAAAAAAAAAAAAAAAAGAAACCACATGCGCAGCCTCTGGAGAGCAAAAAGCACCGGTGGACTCGACCTTTGGTGCTCAACATGTTTAATCATACATGCCATTAACTGTTTGAGTCGGTGGGACATTTGCATAGACGGGCGCCAAATTACCTGAAGGAGGTTATAAAAAAAGGGGTCGATAATGATATGCAGAGGTGAGGGCCACTTGATCAATTGTTTTAGTCGATGGGAGTCACAACAAATGAGGACACACGGATTTAATGAGCAGTGGGAGGAAAACAAGGGGAATGTTGCTACTTGATTTATCCGATCATTTAAACTGTCTTTGCTCTGAAGATTACCAGCAGCTCAAAAAACTGCCAGCGGAGCATCATCCTCCGATCTGCCAGTGTGAATTATCTGCTCATTCCCGGCTCTTCTGTATTTTCTGGCCATAACTCAATTTCCTCCCTTGTTTGCAAAACTGCACCAAGCTCTGGAGGGGATCTGGCAGCAGCAAACACAATCTCTGAGCTTGTAACTCAGCATTACCCTCAGTGACCAGACCTCGCCCTACTTCCCAGACCGGCTGCAAAAGCCTCACGTTGCTCCGGTCACGTCAGAAACACTGTTGCCCTCAAGTGATTTCTTTTCAGATCAGAGAACAATCTATTTAACATCCTAGTGCATCACTCAGTGCTTTTTTTTACATGTACATTTTAGAAAACAAATGAAAAAGGATTTGTTTTTTTTCTCTAACAGGTCGCAGGGGAACAGAAATATCACCCAGAATGCTTCACCTGTCTGAACTGCAGAGCGTTCATCGGGGACGGAGACACGTACGCTCTGGTGGAGAGATCCAAACTCTATTGGTGAGCATCCAGCATGATCTAAATTTTTTTTAAAAGCACACAATGGAACATCATAGTGCAAAAAGCTGCAAAAATGAGACGTGTATCTTTTAAAATAATTTTAATTTGGCCATTTTTAACACTGGCAGCCAGCAGTTAATGCAGTTTGTGGTTCTTTGCTTTCCTGCTTACTTACCCAACTATCCCTTATTTTAGCCAGTTTTCCTAATTCCATCTTCTACCACGTGCTAATCCATTTCAAGAAATCCCTTTGAAACCAAAAATCACAAAAATGCACAATAAGCCAAAGCCGCTGTTGTTGATTGACGAAATCTTAAATTTATTCAGCTTATTTCTGGCTTCAAAGGGCTTCTTGTCAGAGTTATGACAAACTGTGGCGACAAGTGGCAGAAACTGAATTTTCTCCAGCAAGACACACACATGAAAGTTTCAAAGCTGGTGGTAAAGATTTACTTTAGTGCATCACTAAAGAGAAGGGAAACAAAGAGAAGCTTCAGGTTCAGGTTGTTCTTTACTTGTGTGGCTGCAGGGTTGTGTTTGTGTGACTGTCATGAGCCACAGTCTTTAAATGCAGAGGGTTGAATGTGCAGCCAATACACAGAGATACAGAGTACGGTGCAAACGTTTTAGATTCTTATTCAGTCCTGCAGTAGATAATATGACCCCACAGAGCCCTGATCCTAACATTATAGAGTCAGCGTGGGATTAGACAGAGAGACAAAAGACACTGAGACAATACTCGTACAGAAACTGCCCTGCTAAGTGCTTTTAAAACGGTGGGAAGTTTCCATGGAGAGCTGCCACTGTCTTAAAGGCGTTCACACCAAACATTTATTTGCACTTTGTATAACAATAAATGATAAATAAAACTCTTTATTGCATTATTTTTTAAGAGCCTCCTCACTTTTCTTGTAGTGATTAAAACATTCTCCCACTACTGTGTGTGTAAACAGAAGAAGCTTTGTCCCCTTTCTGAGTAAAAATGAATGATGACTATGATTCATTGCTTTCATTGAGAGATTCACATGTTGCCAAGCTGGGTGATTTCAGGTGAAGCAGAGAGGAACATCGGGAAATACATCAACTGCTTATCTCCAAGAAGTGAATCATAAATAAGAGAGAAATCTGTGTTTTGTAAAAACGTTATCCAAATGAGGTTTCACAACTGCTGTCTGAGGTTTGGATGACCTCATCGTTAGTCTTTCTCCAATCCCCAGCATGTGTGTCCATGAAAAATAGTCTTGTTTGTAAGACAAATCCATAAAACAGATTTTTATTATCAAAGGTCACATTGACCCTTAGTTCAGAACAATGACTGCTCAGTGTTGTCCCGACTGAGCTCCGGCAACATCTTGTCAACAACATGTGATGCTGTGAAAACTGTTGTTCCAACAAGAACTTGACGTTCCTCTTATGATTTCATGGAACGCTCACGAGGATTCCCATTTCCTCTGCTTTCCTGTCTCTTTTTTTCCTAACCTCTTTCTTCTTTTCCTTTGTTCTCTCTCCTTCTCTTCCTCTCCAGCGGTCACTGTTACTACCAGACCATTGTGACCCCGGTGTCGCTGCCGGACTCGCCATGCTCTCGGATCCCTCACACCGTCACACTGGTGTCGATTCCCGCCTCCGCCGAGGGCAACAACGGACGCAGAGGGCGAGGTTTCTCTGTGGCCATCGACCAGCCACTCAGCCCGACCAACGGCTACAGTCCAGAGCATGGACGAACTGTCAGAGTCTCCCAGTGAGTCTCATGCATGTTTAATATTAGAGCTGCAAGGATTACTCAATTAGTTATCAGACATTGAATTAGTTGCCTGCTATTTTGAAAAATCTATGAATCGGTTTGAGTAATTCTCAAGAAAACTAAAACTCTCTAAATTGAATATCTTCTGGTTTCTCTACTTTTAAACTTGGGTTGAGGACAAAATTGGTGTTTTGTAGACAAACAACTAATCGATTAAGAAAAAAAGTTGCACCCTTTCTGGATACACATTTCAGTGTTTTAAAAGTACAGCAAGTTGAAAATAAAGAGCAAAGGGAAGATAAGTGAAGAGTTGCAACAGTAGGAGAGGTTAATACGGTGAAGGACGAAGGATAAAGAAAGGTGGATTATGAATGGAGGACAGGGTAATAGATGAGAGTCATTTAAAATGTATAATAGGCTGGAAAGAAAAAGGAAATGAGCAGAAATCTGAGTCACTGTTATTCAAATGAGCTGCGAAATTATCTGATCTCAGGTCCGTGGTAAAAAGAAAATGTTCGGTGTGTGCAGAAAGGTGTTTGAAGAGATTTCGTTGTGCTTATTGTTCCTCTTTATTCAGGGTGGATGCAGACTGCATCAGTCCAGATGTGAAAAACTCCATTCATGTTGGCGACAGGATCCTGGAGATCAACGGGACGCCAATTCACAACGTTCCTCTGGACGAGGTATTCACCGCCGTCCCTTATGTCTTTGTTGCTAAAAGAATGGAAGTTTTTGTAAATATGCAAATGAAATCACAATGTCCTGGATTTAGCTGTTGTTGGGGAGGAAAAGTGGCATTCATCTTGTAGCTACTCTAGAGAAATGCTTGTTAGTTTTCACTGTGGTCTCAAAGACTACATTTTAATTAACCGCTGTGACAATCAGTAAAAATTTTAATAGTTGTCATTATTTTGCTACATGAGTAATGAAAAGGGGTTTATTCTCTCTGCCATAGACACATATATGGTTTAGCGTCCAGCAGCAGCAGTACATGTTTCACCTCATTCTGAACTTTACAAACACCCTGAGCGCTAGAAAGCATTTTGATGTACTTTATCCATTAAATCATTTCTTGATCTATAATAAAGGCCTCTGCTGTTCTAATGTTGGTGAACTCCTCTCCAGATCGACCTGCTGATCCAGGAAACGAGTCGGCTGCTGCAGCTCACCATCGAACACGACCCTCACAGTCAGGGGAGGGAGGGAGGCTCCTCTGAGGCCGAAGAGCAGGTGGACGGGCCCCTGTCCACCCCCCTGTCAGAGGGCCCCAGCCCCATCCTGCCCATCACCGAGCCCCCCAACTCCGACATCAGCAACCTTAGATCCCGCATAATCACGTAAGAAATGACAGATTTTTACCACTTTTATCACAATCTTCTACCAACAGTGAATGTACAAGAGGTTTAATGGATGTGATGATCTGCTGATGAAGTTTTTGCCCAACTTACAGCTTTGTCACCACAATTGTCAGCAGTTTGACTTTGCTGACGAGTGCGTTAACTGCCCTCTTTGCATATAAGATATGATAAGATAAGATTAGAGAAGATATACTTTTTTTGTACCCAAAGGGAAATTTGCTTTCGGCAGTACTGCAAATTTTTACAGTTCTGCACAACAACAGAATCAAAGAAATTACAATCTAAAAAAAAATACAATTAGGCACAGAATAAAGCCATAGATTTATCCAGCCATGTCTACCTAGAACATACATATGCGTCCACATATACGTAGAATAATATGTACATATTGCACCTTGCATAAAACAGTTAAATAATACCAGAAAAACAAAAAAACTGTGATCCAGAGATCAGCCTTGAAGATCAAATGTGTAGGTCACACACATCAACGGTTTGGATTGAGCTTGTTTGTTTGGTGGTGTGATAGCAGTGGAAATAAAAGAGAGTGTAGAAGAGCTGTTCTTATATTTGAAGGCTCAGTAATGACTACCCCATGGTTTCATAGTTAATTGTGAGAGACGTCCTTCAGGATTGTGTGCATGTCTGACAGCAGTTTTTTCATAAACAGTGTTCCTTCCTTTCAACCACTTTAACTGCTGTTTTAGCAGAGCTGTTTTTTTCTGATTATTTACTATATTTGCTTTCAGTGAAGATAAAAGCTGTGTAATTCCCAAAGATGATATTGTATCAGCAAATAATAATCATATATTCTGCTCTCCCCTTTATCTTTCCTGCTGCATCATCTTCATCTCTCTCTCTCAGGCGAAGTTACAGCATCGATAAGTCGCCAGGCTCCAGCAACGCAGCGTCACCCATCTCCCAGAGGAAGGACATCAATCGATCGGAGTCTCTTCGTGTCGTCTCAAATCGGACTCACCGCATCTTCCGCCCATCTGACCTCATCCATGGAGAAGTGCTGGGGAAGGGATGCTTTGGACAGGCCATCAAGGTAAATCTGAGGGCAGAGATGCAGTTTTTCAAGCCAGCTTCTGCGTAAAAACACGTGATGCAGTTCTCCTAAAGTGACCAGGAGATGGCAGCATTGAGACATACTAAGGAGAGGAAATGTCTGCGGTTTTAATACATCATGGACTTCTCATGCTGACATACAGATGGTGGAACACTTTATGGTCAATATTACATCAGAATAATGTTTAAATGTGTTGCTCAGCTTGATTTGTGTCTGCCTGAAGGTGACCCACAGGGAGACGGGGGAGGTGATGGTGATGAAGGAGCTGATTCGCTTTGATGACGAGACGCAGAGGACGTTCCTGAAAGAGGTGAGAGCAGACGAACAATCCCAGATTTTCCATCATTCGGAAATGTAGGATTTACCTAAATTTCCCGCACAGAGGTTGATCAGCTGAAACAGAAATCAGTAAGTGACGGATCACAAAATGATTAGTATGTTCAGAATGGATTCAGTCATCACATGTAGAATTAGTGAAATATGTTGTGGGTTTTCACAGACGTGCTGAGAAAGTACAAGAAAATGTCTTTTGTGCATAACAAAGAAGCTGAAGGTTGCGGTTAAAATTAGCAGCTTCTCTGTGAGAATGTGGGACATGAGTGAATTAAAAAATAAAAAAGGAAGAGTTCTCACACCTTGAGAAAAATGAGAGTAAAACACCAAAAAGGTCCTCCTGAAATAGGACAGAAGGGAGTGCTAACATGGTGCTTTCTTCTATAACATGATGGATGAGCAGAAGTTTTTCGACCTCCCACACAAAGCTTCGTCTCTCACCAGCCCTCCCATTCATTTGCAAAGATAACAGAGGATGACTCACATAGTACATAAACCTTTTTGAGTTATTGTGATCTGAATTGCCCCTCATGATTCTGTTTGATCTTCAGCATCATTCCGTTAACAACCTTCTTAATGAGAAGTTTAAAGTTGATTGTGTATATTCATGTGTGTGGGGGTTCAGTTTTATTATTAGTGTGCTCCGACGCTGAGGCCTTTACTCAGTGTAGACAACAGAGTAAAAAGATTGGCTGTAAAACAAACCCCTGACCACAGTTAGGCATGATTATTACCCCCGCCGGCTGTTTGTTTGTAGGTGGCCCAAGTCTCACTTTACTCAGGTTCTTGTAATCTTGCTTGTTGCTCAGCAGCCTCCCGTGAAGGTCGGAAAAGAATGCAGCAAACATTTCAGACAAAGACGTCATGAGACTTGAGGAGTAATATTTCAGGTTTATTTGTGACAGTGAGCTTCCGCCTCCTCCTTCACAGCCCAACCTTCAGGGGAGGAAATGTTTTATGAGGTGTCAAAGAAGGGCCCTGAGCAGCACTTGTAAAGTCTTAAATCATACTGAGAGAATGTGAAGAAAGTTTTCTGTTGCTTTTAGAGTAAATAGAAGAGATTACGCCTGAACAGTTACTAGAAATAATATTGCAATCAAATTATGACTTAGTGCAATATCCAAAATACAAAAGTTGCAGTTTTTGGATAAAATACATCACAACACAACATTATAAATGAAACATTGTGGTGCTACAGAGATGCCCTGGAGTACAAGTCATATTGTCTGGATGTAAGGGAACATGCTTGTTTTACTACAGACTGAAGCAAAACAGTCAAGAAGGAGTAGACAAGAAATTTAAAAAACACTTTTCCTTCACAAATCATGACTCCAAAATCAGTAACGTGAACCTGATTGTGACACATTACTGTTTATATTTATGCAAATTAACAAGTGTTAAATTCTTAATTTCTGAGCTAGCGACGGCACAAGATCACATTTTCTCTACATGGTTATCATGGAGTAAACAGTTCACAATTATTGCGATATCTACGGAAAAAAATGGGGAAAAATCATGCTATTAGTAAAAAAAAATCATATTTAACTTTGTTTGATGTGTGTTTTGTTTTGTTTTTGGCAAATGAACTACACTCTAAATACAGCAAATACTTTCAGGGAGGTGGAGAGATATGTATAAAAGTGTGCAAAAAGAAAAATGACACTTAGTGGAGAGTGAAAAAACAACCAGATGAACTGATAAACAAAAGAATACCAAGGCCATCTGCCATCAACATAATGTTAACTAAAACAGCCAGGTTAGAGTGTCAACCAGATAGGTACTAATGCTGCATTATTTATTTTATTATCATCATATGTGTATTATTGACATAATATTAATGTTTCTTTTACTAAACATCATCAATACCAATACATGTATATTTAGAAGCTTTTTAAAGAAGCTGTGTGTTTCCCTCATTTTCTAGTCATTCTCTTAAGTGACGTTAAATACTTGGCTTTACTTTATATATATATATATGTTTATTTATATATAAGACTCTCACCCCAAGTTATTAGTTTCGTCATGTCATCAGCCTGTCAGTTGCTCAAGATTAACACTGACTCTAATGTAAAATTCAACTGATTGTGAGTCTGTTGGATCCCGAGATGAGACACTTTGATATCCCCGCTGTTCGTTTACTCAAGAGACACGTTTTTTTGTTTCTTTAGGTGAAGGTCATGCGATGCCTGGATCACCCCAACGTGCTCAAGTTCATTGGTGTCCTCTACAAAGACAAGAGACTCAACTTCATTGCAGAGTACATAAAGGGAGGCACCTTGAGGGAAATCATCAAGAAAATGGTAAGCAAGGCGCTTTGTGCATGTTTAGAATTCGTAATGCACAGAGTTACCTTGTTAGTAACCATGACGTGGTCTGCTGTGGCTTGAGGCGGCGTCTTTGTTGAATCATTCATCAGCAGCAACTGATCCAAGAGAATGACATTTAATTGTGATTTTTGTTTGCAGGACAATAACTATCCCTGGAACCAGAGGGTCAGCTTCGCGAAGGACATAGCTGCTGGGATGGTGAGTTCAAAGACCAAGAAATAATTTTCTATTAGAAGAAACAGCATGCAGCAGCAGCAGCAATACTTTCCTCAATCTTCACTGCTGTCTCCCTCTAGTGGTCATGTTAGTGAGCTACACTTGTCTCAAAATTGTGCACAATATTTTCCATCCCCCACTATGGAAATTACAACAGAAATTCCTGCAGGATTAGAACATGGGTTCTTAATGTTTTCCTCTGATATGGGCACAATGATGAATGTTGTGCATGACTGAGTTGTTGTTATTTTCAACACCAGCTACTTGAGATGAAACTGGGCAGTATTGTTCCTCTTGGTGTGGGTTTGCGATTCCCTGAAAGCTTCTGTTTTATCTGTTTATTTTTGTATTCTTCCTGCCTTTCATTCTTCTCCTATCTGTCTGTGCATCTGTTTTTTCAGTCATATCTACATTCCATGAACATAATCCACCGCGACCTGAACTCACACAACTGTCTGGTCCGAGAGGTAAGAACCTGTCTTCCTGCACACTTACATGTTTGTGCGGACATACCTCTATACACACTGCATGTTTTCTTTAAGGATTTGACACAGTGCACCTGTCAGCCTCTCAGCCACTTCAGGTAGGAAAACAAAGGAGAGCTTTGTTAGAAGTAGCTATAAGAGACTAAGCCTTCCTAAAACACACTACACACAAGTGACTTGCAGCGGAAACTTTCTGCTTAGCCAACTCGAACAGAGAGAGCATTGTGCACATGTCACATGAAAACAAAATGCTTGTTCTGCACAAATATCCACGCTGAGAGAAATTAGAAGCCTGGAGTTACATTTTAAGCTTTCTAAATGAGATTAGAACTGATTGAACATGGATTTTACCTCGAAGCTTTCATCTTATTTGTCACACTCTAGGCATGCAGCGTAATAATGACATTTTATTTTCAGAACAACACGGTGGTGGTGGCAGATTTCGGCCTGGCTCGGCTCATGGTGGACGACAAGCATGAGGACAAGTTGACGCAGGGGAAATTGTCCGGCCTGAAGAAGCCCGACCGCCGGAAGAGGTACACTGTGGTGGGAAACCCCTACTGGATGGCTCCTGAGATGATCCATGGTAAGGATCCTATGCTAAGGCTAAAATTCTCACAAATATCCATCTCACTTTCTTGATGTCATGCTATGACAACAGCCTAATTTAATTTGTGTTCTCTTTTCCAGGGAAGAGCTATGATGAGCGAGTCGACATCTTTTCCTTTGGAATCATGCTCTGCGAGGTGAGTGACCCTTTACTCTGCGTAGTAATAAAAACTCAGTTGATATCGTAGATTTTAGAAAGATTATTGTTTGATCAGTAAACCAAGAAATGCTTGTAAGATTTCCTAAACGCTTTCATTGTCTTCATTTGACATAAAAATTACAAAACAATTCTGGTTATCACTTTGTATGCTTGAACCTGCAGTGCAGAACTTTGGTCTCCCCCCTCTGGCAGTGACAGTAATTACACAAACACTGCTGAAGCTGCCTGAGTTTTTGCTCCTAGTTCTCACAACTCAGTATGCAGTCGCAGCTGTAGCCTACTCCATCTTTGTCACTATAGTACCAATTCAGCTCTGGCAAACCAGACACTGATTACCATAAAATATGGTAACCGCTGCAGCAGCATGGGAATGTTGCCACAGAATCCCGATATAAAATTCTGGTATTCTGCAAAATACAGTGAGATTTACTTGGCATTTCTGGGCTTAATCAGCACTGTGGGAACTCATCTATGATGAACTTGAATGTAATGGGTGTTCACCTGTATGGAAAAGGCCTGTACTTTAGCTTTATCATCTTAAATCCTCTAAACCCTTGAAGTTTAAAGTGTTCCAGCAATTTTACTTAAATTTAGCTCTAATTTTGACTCATCTTTTCCACTTTTTCTTGGTCTACAGTGAACTGAAGTCTGCATTCTTAATACTTTTTCTGCAAATTGCATTAAAATCTGCAATTAGTCAAAGTTCTGCTCACATTAACTACAGTATCCATTTCATTTTATGAGGAAACAATCTTGCTTCTCCAAAATTCCACATTACTGAAGGAGGAAACTTACTTTTTAAATCCAGCCCCACAGTGTTGCAGGCTCTGGGCCCGGCCACACACCATCTGCGTAATTTGGGCTCAACAGTTTAGTTCAATCACTCAGGCAGCCTCAGAATACGACTTCTCCAGATGGACGCCATTATCCAGCGAAGACTGCAGGGATTAGAGAGAGCAGAAAAGCGAAGCTGTCTTCATGTGGCTACTGACGGGCAGACAAACGATAGTTGTGGTCCGTTGGGGACGATTACTGGTTTTCCAGCGGGACGGCACAGGAGGGCTGACACTTTCATCTGTAACTCTTTCTCTCTTATTTGCTTTTCTTGCTCTCTCCAGATCATTGGCAGGGTGAACGCAGACCCAGACTACCTCCCCAGGGCGATGGACTTCGGACTGAACATTTCTGGGTTCCTGGAGCACTTCTGTCCCCCTGATTGTCCACCCGCCTTCTTCCCCATGGCTGCGGTGTGCTGTGACCTCGACGCAGACAAACGGTCAGACGTCTGCAGCAGATTCCCATGAAAATGTTACCGAAAGGGACAATTCACCCAAAATAAAAACTTTTTCTGACACTATGTTGCAGGGTTTTGCAGTGGAACTCAATATCATAGTGAAAAAAACCTGCATTTTTTTTAACCAAATTCAGTAATACTGAGGACCACTTCTTTCTGACATTTTTTAGAAACAGTCACTGTGGATTATCACGGGAGGCTGAGCTTTTGGGATTCATCTTGTCTGATGTATTTTTAATGCTCTGAGTACTATAAATAAACCTCTGCTGTATCGTATAAAGTAACTCAGGCAAACCACCCTGACACTACCTGGATAAATAGATGGGGGTGGGGGGGCTATGTTTAATTGTGTTTTTGGGTGAACTGTCCCTTTAATTATCTCACAAGCACTCTACAGTATAACAAACATAAACACAGCTTTTAAACTGACATCTCTGTTTTCTTTCTTGAAACTTAGACCTGCTTTCTCCAAATTGGAGGAGTGGCTGGAGAACCTAAAGATGCACTTGGACATCGGCCTGCCCCTGATGTCAGAACTGGACCAGCTGCACAAGGCCTTCTGGGAGCACCACAGAGTCACACACCCCGAGAATGGCCTGCACACCCACCCCGAACAGCCGGAGTAGGGCCGAGCAAAACGGGAGGAGTGGGAAGTCACAGAGTTAACCTCACGAGGGCAGCGGCCGCCTGCCCTCGCGGCGGTGCAGCGGCTGGCGGCTGGCGGCTGGCGGCTGGCGGAGTCGTGTAAATACCCCTCGTTTCGAAGCGGATGCAGCGGGCGTAGGCTGGCTCAGGCTTAACGAGTAGACTCAGGGGGAAAATAAATGTGGATCTGAAAAGCCACCTGTGTGAGATGCACACATTCAAAGTCAAATCAAGAGACATTAACTACGATAGCTCGATTCTGCTGCACCCGAAGCTCAAGTGGAACATTTCATATGCAATCAGACCCAACTTTCGAATCATGACTCAGCTCTTGAATTGTGTAGATTCACACATTAGTGGTCATACCAGTCAAGAATACTTACTGTACTTACTGTAGTGTGTATATTCACGTGGGAAAAGTAATCAAAAACAACAACAAAAAAACAACACGTAAAGCAAACTTTAAGCCGCCTCACTTTGGGCCTCTACAGAGTACATTGTGCAGTACGTGTTTGCAGGTGTTGCTGTGTGAGTTTGGTTTGATTTTTGCTTTTGGTTTAGATCTCAAAACTGAACTTCTGAAAAATGCAAAGCAGAGGGTGCCGTGTGTCGTCACAGACACAAAGGTTCAGATCCACTACAAGTGAAACACAACCTTTTAAGCTTTAAATAGCTCAGTGAAGAGTGCATGACTGTAAATAATGCTGTCCGGTCAAATCCTGGTTCATCGTGTCCCTCTGACCTCATTTGGTCATAAACCACTAATCTACTCGTGTCGCTGCTCCTCCCCCCCTATTTATTGTGTAGCACTGACTTTACATTGAGGTACACATCTGCGGCATAAACTTGGTACGTTGTCTCTCAATTTTCCGAGCTGCTAGCGTATCTCATTCACATCGACATTCATACACACACCGGTGTACATAGCTGTCAACATTGTAAATGTTTTAAATATTATAAATGTACAGACATATTTTATATACGTATGCTACATTGCCATATTTTTATTGGCCGACCAGTCGAAATGGAGAGCAGAGGTGTGACTGCAGTGAAAAGGGCAAAGCCGAAGTTTTATCTCCGTTTTTTTCTACATTCTCACCACTGCGGTAGGTTAAAGGCTTTTAGGCACCATAAAACATCTCCGACCCAGTAAATTCTGTCATCTCTCTCCATTTAAAAAGTATTCAAATGGTCGTCTTAGAGTTTTCATGTAGCTCTAGATTTGTGCTGGAATAAACTTTATCATAATACTGGATTATCTAATCGCATCAAATTTTAGAAAAGGGGTTAATGACCCTTTTAAACTTGCTGAAACTAAATCTGCACATTATGATCAACTCTAATTCTATGTGACATTTTGAAGGCAATCAACCTGTTACTAATGATTCACTCTCGTCTCATGTACTGTGTAGTAGTTACGGTGTGGGGATAATGTCACCAGGTACTGCCTCATCATGTCAGCTGTCTGTCCACATACCTGTCTGTCACCCTGCGGATGACCCACTGTTTGTTTACATGTAAATACTAGCTGTAAATATCACTGTAAATACGTGTCTGTCCCAACATCTGTCTGCGTGCTTGGCAAAATTCTGCGCACTCCTCAGAAATATTCTCTTAACACTGTCAGATTTCTCTCTTGCACCTTCCAACATAACGATCTCTGTCTCTAATCTAAAAGTCTTTTTTAAATTTTTTTTTTTTTAATTTCCTGCTGTCGTTTTCACAAGCTGCATGATGTACTAGCTAGGTCTGTTCAGCTTCTTAAACCGAGCTATTTTTGTCTCTAAATATTGTGGTTTTAAATAAGAAAACAGAGAATGAAAGAAGAAAAAAAAGCCAACAGAGAAAGCCGGGTTAAAAAAAAAAAGGAAATGAGAAAAAAAAAAACACAGCATCTGTTTTTTTTATATATACCCACTGAAATCCTTTTGTATACATTTGAGTACTTTTATTTGCACTATATTACCAAATGGCTGCTTGAAGCCATGTTTGTTAATTTTTCTCTCTTGGGCTACTTGTGATAAGGAAATTAATTATGTCGGTTCAGGTTGATATATGAATGCAAGACACTGATAGAGCCTTTCAACTGTAAAAAATGGATTCTGGGAAATTCATCCTCTCGACAGCAAACTAAATAATGTGAGGATCGGCAACGTTTTTGATTATTTGGATGCGTTTTCGTGCAACTTTTAAATAGAGTTTTCGCAGCAGTCTGTTTGATCCCTCAGTAATCTTAAGTAAAATCATATATCTAAGGCAATAGTGGTGATATTTTCATTTTCAAGACTTATATATATAAATATAGTACCTTTATTATAGTTAAATATCACCTGAAAAGCAAAGTTGTTTGCTGCCAAGAGGATGTGATGTCCCAGCTCTGCCTGCTGCCTACAGACTGGTCCTTTGTGAATGATGTTCTGTGTTGTTTCTGACTGCTTGGTTTCATATGTGATGCCCACAGAGGCTGCAACCACTGCTGGTCTCTCTGATATTAGAGCACTTAAACTGGCCTTCCTCACTCCTTCATCATACTCTTTTTGGCTCAGGGCCGTAATTTTCTGGAGCTTTCTTCTTCACAATTCAGTTACTTCAGCAGCTTAATAGGAAAACAGTACTTAACAGTGCGAAGAGCATGCAAACTTCTCTGAATATGTAGGCTGATACCACAGCTACGCTTCTCTAAAAAACAAGCCCCTCCTGGTTGATGTGTTCGTCCGTGGGCATGTACTGTACACGAGTGGCTTTGCCATGTTTCTTTCTCCATTCCTGTCTGAGCCATGTCGAGCATGTTAGATGTGTCTGTGAGGTCGTGTTGATGATCACTGAGAATGTTGCCGCAGCACTTCTTTGCAAAGGATCGTTACCTCTGAACAATGCTGTGCCTTTGTTGTAAGCTAGCCTTGCCAACGACTCGAAAACATGAACTGATTTCCTTTTTCCTTTTTTTTTAATGTATCATAAGTGCAAGCCTGATTCAAGTGGATTGAATACCATTGCTGATACCATGTTGTATGAGATTTCATCTTGTTCTGTATCATATTTATATTTTCCAGATCTCCATTGTCAGTTTTGATATTTTAATATTTCCTTTTTGTCTTATTTAATTTTTTTTACACAAGCTGTGAAAACAATTCTGCACTTTAATCCTGAACGTGAACATTTAGACTCTGAGGAGGCGACTGTTTTTTTTTCCTTTTGTCACAGCTAAAAATAAAACTGTTGCTCCTTAAACAAACCAGAGACTCAAAATGCTCGTTTGTCTTAGTGTGACACTGCAAAGGGTCCAGATTTTATATCTACATTCTCTCTATCATTTATCTCTTTCCACTTTTGAAAGACTCACAATACAAAGTATGGCAGCTTCAATATTATGTGCAAAATCTGCTTCACTCTGAGTTCACACTTGAAAAGCAAAATCTGCAGTTTCTGCAGAGAAAATGTGTGGGCTACATTAAAGGGATAAAAATAGTGCATGTTTTCTGCTTGGAAAAAAGGGGAATTTATCATAAATGTGTTTACAAATCAACCAGTAGATGTCAGTATCTGCTGTTTATGATGAAATCGAAAAGGGTAAGAATCACATTAAGTTTATTTAAAAAACTAAATACAGTTGCTCATTTCCCAACCCTTTGACAGTTTACACAATAATCCCTCTTTCTACTACAAGTATTACATGATACAAGAGGTGGCACAAGTATTAGGGTTTCTCTCATAATCAAAAGGCAGCATACCACAGTGTAAAAATACTATTTTACAAGTAAGTCTTCCATCTTTCATTCAAAGCTTTACTCCATGTTTTGGTGAATGCATTACCAGCTAAATGAAGACAAAAAGTGTATATATGTGTGTGTGTGTGTGTGTGTGTAAAAGGAAATGCTTAGCCTTATAAATAAATTGGTTCTGTCACTTTGATATGACAAGCTTTTATTGGATAGGTATTGCTATGGTATTGTATAAGCTGAATTTTTAATGTAGCTGGCTGAAATTGAGCATTTTCAAACGATAAATTGCATTAGAGGTTTAAAAAGATAATGTATGGCTTGTATGTTAAAAAAAAAAAACTTGGATTTTCTACACTTCTCAGATAAAATGGAAGATTACCAGTATTGAAATGCAGTGCTGTCCCAGCTGACTTAGGGCGAAGGCAGGGGACACCCTGGACAGGTCACCAGTCTATCACAGGGCTACACTTAGAGACAGACAACCAAGCACACTCACATTCACATCTACGGACAATTTAGAATCACCAATTAACCTCAAGATGGTTTTGGACTGTGTGGGAGGAAGCTGGAGAACCCGGAGAGAACATGCAAACTCCATACAGAAAGATCTTGGGTGTCCTCACTGGGACGCGAACCGGTGCTAACCACCGATCCACCTTGCAGCGCCCATTGGGGAGCTTCTTACCCTAAATGAAGGGGGAATCCTCCCTCAAAAATCCAACTCAAAAAAGCACTTTTTACTCTTTTAGGTTGTATTTGTGGATAATCCTCGACATGACTCTCATGTTAACAGTAAAAATCTATATACACCTTCTTACTTTTCTGTCCTATTCTAGTCCTATCTTAGCTTTACATTTTATTATTATTATTATCTTCTGCAAGGTATCATATTTGCATCTTTATGCTTTTTTTTATTATGCACTGCATGTATTCGCCTGTTATATAATTTTTTCTGAGCAATATCTGGTACAGGAATTTCCTTCAGGATAAACAATGAATTCATCTTATTCTATTGAATCTTCTGATTTGCAAAAAAGACAAAACAAAAAACCACAGACCTATGTTTTACTGACATCAACCACTTCAAACCCATTTCTTTCGATTTCCTTGGACCAGAAAAAAAAAAACATTTCTAAGCTATTTAAAGATGTGCAAGGCCACTATCATTCAAGGAAACACCTGAAATAATAATTTTTAAAAATGGCTGTATCTACTGTTCAGAAGAGGAATTATGTCGGGAAAGGGCTCGTATACTGGTTCACCCAGCATCTGTCAGATAAATATTTATAAATATTTACTTCTGAAATGTAGTGGAGCATGAGTACATAAAACTTACTCAAGTGAAGCACTAAAGGATGTTGCACCTTGTTGTGATTGGCGTTGCTTCCCTCATAAGGAAACAGCAGGTTACACACACCACAGATTTGCATTTATCTTTTTGTGATGCTAACAAGGCAGCTTTTGGTGCAGTTCATGCCCACTCAGGTGCACGTGACCAATGCTCCCCATCACATCCACGTGCGATTGTTTTCATTCCGACGCTGCTGCAGCGGAGCCTGCGTCATGACGTCAGCGGGCTGGCAGGCAGGAGGCGGCTCGACAGTTTGAACCGCGGCGACGACTGAAGGCTGCTGCTGCTGCTGCTGCTGCCGTACAAACACACACACACTCACAGGAGCAGACGGGTCTGTCCGCTCACTACACAACACCACACAACACACACGCACACACACTGACATTTCACTGCCGCCGAGTTCAGGTTTACTGAGGAAATTAAGGAAATACCGAAGAAGAAGAAGGTCGCAGTTGTTGGCACTGACTGAAACTTTGAGATGGAAAATTCGTCCAGCAACAACCGGTTTCGGTCCGCAATGTTTAACCACGGTGAGTGTCTTCACGTCTGACACAGCATGTGGGGTGTTTTATGAGCAACTTGGGATGCTAGTTTGTTGTCTCAATTTGACCCTCTCTGTTAAACCCTCCCTTTAAATCCCGTTTTTTTTCATCCATTTAAACACACCAAGCGTGACCGTCCCGATACGGGGCCCGTTTGGCTCCAAGTCAGAACTGATGCAGGTTCGTAAGCCGATGATGAGGTTTTATTGTGATGGGTGCACAGAAATTACACTCTGACAGCACACAGGGAACACTTCGTCCTGCTGCTTGCTGTTGGGCGAAAATCCTTGAAAAGCCTGGCAGCTTGAGCTCCACACGGGACACGGCAGCAGCAGCACACTGTAATTCTGCAGCTATGCAAGAGTGGTACCAAAGCCTCGCCACACTGAACTATTTCTGGAGCTCCGAGATATAACTGGATTGGACCGATAAACTAAAGGCTGCAGCCGGATGGAGAACTGCGAGGTCTGCTTGAAGGCTCGCCCCGTCAAAACTGTTTGCTTATTTTCTCTGCAAGCAGTCGTAAAACAAGAAGTTCTGGCTCAGTTTGATGTGTCAAAGAAGCTTTGCACTTGAGCCAATAATAGACTTGAACTGCCTTTATGATTTTCTTTCGAGAGTTAAATGTTGCAGCATGACATTTAAATTGCAGTTTGACCTTCCATGTATATGAAATCTCCTATTCCATAGTCTGTCCAGTGTTAGATTTTTGAGTCTGTACTTACTTGCTGACAGTTTTTTCAAAGAAATGCATAACATTGCTAAATATTAGATGAAACAGTCATAAAATATTCTGCAGGATAGAAACCATTTTTAACACATTTTGGCATTTCTTCACTCACATTTCTCACTTATCTGCAGACACTGATAAGATATGTCGGAAATAATCCCGGCTGACATTAATCGGGCTAACTTTTTACTCAGCCCAGACAGATATGTCCCTGTCTGGTGACATCAAAGAGATCTGGTTTCCTGTCTCAAACTGCATCATAGCTCACCTGGATCTTATCATGTCAAAAACTATGTGAGCCCCCAGCATGTGGGGGAAAAAAATTTGATTATTCTCAGGCACATTAGTCTTGTGATATGGAGGCTGCAGTTGCACTCAAACAACTGTTGCCCTGTGGTATATAATGTACATAGAGGGGCGGTGTCATAGAGAAAGTGGGAGGTAATGAGTGCTCTTGTATAGAGTTAGTGCTGAATCTTCATATGGTTGTCTTTGCATGCATTACTCATATCTTATGCTGCACTTAAAGTTGAGAGGGCACTTCTATACTAACAAATCTGTGGTAGAAGCTTTTAATTTGTCCATTTCTATGTTCAGTTGCTCCCTTTTACTCATTCAGTAGAGCTCTATTTATAGAGATATGACTAAAACACATGAATAAATCTGCAGAACAGCGTAGTGTGCATTGCTGCATTGGTTTAACCAGAAACCTTGAAATCGCCCTTTAATTCACAATGAGCTGAATGCCCAAAGATTCACCTTTAGCATCTCTGTTAAATCGTTTTTATGGAGCCACTTTACATTTTACATCACGGTGATAAGTTCAAATGTTGGTTTTTCCATGTCTAACTTGTCACTCGTGACTGTTTCAACTCCCTGGGAAGTCTTTTCTAAATTGCTTCGGTGACATTTCCTCTCAGATGTGTCAACACATGCAGTATCAGTCAGTGAAATGAAAACCTTGCAAATGTGATATTACACAGTGTAATACCTCGATTCTGCTCAATGTTTAGCTGAACTGACTTGTGAAGTGGAGGTGGAACTAGAATTTAGGGCTATTTTTTTAAGAGCCAGTAACCCATTTACCAAATAAAGCAACATGTTCCTTTTCTACACGAGACAACGTCACGGCAGTCTCACTTAAAAACAAAGTGTGACTGTAAACAGCACCCAGCAGGACAGTGGGTGGTGGGGATGGGGGCGGGGGGGCACAGTCAGCAGTGGCTAACATTCCTCAGGGGAAGCCTTCTGGAGAGATGCTACCATCCTCGCTTCTGTCTTTGGCAGCGCTGACAGCATCACTGTTGGAGGACTTCAGCATGTAGGTCAAGAGAGAAACCACTAGAAAAATTAACATGTCAAGGGGGCAGCCATTGTAGTAAAACACAACGCTGGTTTTGAAATTTTTCAGACTGAAATTTGCAGGCCTTTTTTGGAGAGCTGCGGTTGTGGATGTGTAATTTGTATCTTCATTTGTTTTCTCTGTCAACAGTGCACAGGAGTCTTATTTGCATGTCATCCTGCCACAGTAATTTTGTGCATCTGGAGAGATGCATACTGATGCCAGCTCGGTTTTAAAGAGCATCAGCAGTAATATGCAGCTCATGCATTATATATTGTCCATATGCAAAGACTACTAAACCACTGCCTGTAACATTTGTGCTGTTCCTGAAGTGGCAGAGGCTATAATGATATTTTTGTTCCCTGACCTGCATCTCAGCACAGTCTGCTCTGTGAGCTTACAGTCAGTGATGGTCCTGAGTTTAAAGTAGTGAATCGATATTTGTAATACTGCCAGTTAGTGTCCCGGGGCAGCCAGCTTGGAGTAAGGAAATTTGTTTTGCCTCTTAAGAACTGAGAGAATCAGTAAATGGCAAACATCATGAA